TTTTTGGTACCGGGGATCAAACTCGGGTCCTTGTGCTTGCGCAGCAGGCGGTGAAACCACTGAGCTAAATCCCCGGCCAGTAAAAATTATATTTTAAAATTGCCAAAGACAGCTGTAATCGTGGAAAACAATTCTGGAGACTGATTTGAGCACAAACATTTCTCTGGCATTTATTAACCAAATGACTCTGGAAAGCTTACTTAACTACTTTGACCATTGGTTTCCTAATCCATAAAATGACAACAATTTCTGCCACAGAGAACTGCCATGAGAATTAAATTATGTAAGGTAATAGAGTACTCAGCAGATGGAGAAGGTACATTCATAACGTTAGTTTAGTATTTCCTTCAATTTCAGATTTTTTGTATACAAAATTCAACTTACATAAAAATATTTTTTAAAATAAAAAGTGATAGTTTCTGAAAACTTTTTGGTAAAAGGGAACATGAGGCTGAATTCAGAATTCCCTATTTTTGCTTTGAAAATATCTTATTTCAATAAACTGCAAAATGACTTAGTAATACATTCACAGTAGCATGATATACACCCTCCAAAATGACTCAACTATTATTTGATGATCTGTTATCCTTGATAGTAAAAGTTATGAAAAGCAAAATGTAAAAACAGTGCCCTAACTCTAAAATTCTTATACATTAAGATTACACACACTCAAAAAATACTTTCTTTTATGTACAGTATTCATTTACTCTAAATGAAAAAATGCCTTTAAGCATATTTTTTTATTTTACTTTTGAAACCAAACCCATTTCTATCCAGTACACTTTCAAGATAACAAGAAAAGTTAAATTTATTTAGTCTTTTTGTCCACATTCTCTACCTATTCTTCTGAAATAAAATCTTTTTCTAGAACTTCAAGTATTTGCTTACTGCAAGCAACTGTTCATATTAAGAAATAAAATATACTGGTTTTCTGATTTATTTTCAGAAACTTCACTAATAAAATAGTCAATAAATTATAAAGATCTCATATCTAAAAGAACTTCAAGTCCTATATATTACTCCCAACTCATGGCCTAATGTTTTTTATAACTGAGCTTTTAATCTAATTAAAGTCTCTCTCTCTCTCTCTCTCTCTCTCTCTATATATATATATATATATACACATATATATACATATATATACATATATATACACATATATATACACATATATATATGTCATTCATCTAACATAGTAAGAGTGAAAACAATGAAAGAGTTTAAATAAGCTAAGATGTATTGAGAGAAAAGGGTCATTTAGATATCTGGTAGTATAGAATTTTTAAAATATTTTCTAGCATTAATGTGATTCAATAAACATTTACCTTTAAAGCATTTCCTCTTCAAAACGGGGGAAGTAAAATCAGCCAATTAGTGAGATGCCTTACAGAGCCTACAATAAAATGTTTCTTAAAAGCACATTAAAAACTTGATTTCTTGGACCAGGGATTTAGCTCAGTGGTTCCGCCGCCTGCCTTGCAACCACAAGGACCGGAGTTTAATCCCCGGTACCAAAAAAACCCAACAAAAACTTGATTTCTTCTTGTCTGAGTAGCATCGACATGAGGTACAAAGCAGCATATTTTAAAAGCACTACAGTAAAACTCTCACGCTGTCCACTTGTGGGACAGTGACCACCTGCTGCAGGAAGTTTCAAAGGGATGTGGGGAATGACCGGGCTTGTGCCCCAGGGCTCTGCCCAGCACATAGGCCGCTCGCTGCCACTCCGCGTTTCCACTCCTTCCTGCCAACCGCGCGCTTCCAATGGGGGCTCCTCCACACCGCCAGGCTCCTTGCCATTCTTTTTCCTAAGTAGTTAAGCTTGGTACCTTCTTCTACTGCCCAGGTGAGACATAGCTGAGCTTTTCCCTGGAGTCTCCCCGCCCCCAAATACTCCCTTTATCTCTAACTTTTGTCATTGACTGATCGATCATTAAGCTACCCAAAGGGCTTCTGGCGACAGGTGTCATTCTCATTAAAAGTAAGGGTGCAAGTCAGAACTCTATCTTTACTAAGGAAGCGCAAGATGGATTCCTAGCACTGTTTGATCCGCTTGGTAGGTCACACCCAAGAGCCAGCTCCCGAGGTGGCGGCGGCATAAAGCTGGAGGCGTGGCCCGAGCGCCTGTCCCTGCCGCGCCCCGCACTCACCTGGCTGCTCCCACGCTCCTCGCAGGTCTCGGGGGCCTGGGGCTCCGCGGGGCTCCGGACCGGCTCTGCCGGGGGCGGCGGCGACTCCAGGAGCTGCTCCAGGCACGCGGTGCCCGGCAGAGACGAGCTCTTCTGGTGGCACAAGTGCGCCCCGGGGCCCCGACGCCACGCACCCTCATCTCCGGCGCGGTCCTTCCTCGGGGCCGGCTGGGGAGACGAGGACAGGGAGGACGAGGCGGAGGACGAAGACGGAGCTGAGTCCGGGGAGCGCCCGCCAGGAGGCGTCCCTGCAGCGGGTCCCCGGGCTGTGGGCAGCAGGTGCTCCCGGATCCGGCGGCGGAGCGCGGACCCCTGCTCGGCTCGGCCCGCGCCGCCGGGCTCCAGAGGCTCCGGCGAGGAGCAGCACAGGTTGGGCTGAGAAGACGAGAAGACCCTATCCAGCACTTGCTTCCGCTTCCTGAAGCCGCTCCACTTGCTGCCCGGGCTTCCCACGTCGGGCAGCGCCTCCCGCGTGGCCCTCGGGGGCGGCGGGGACGGCGACGGGGTGTGCGCAGTGCGGCGCTCCGGGCCCCCCGCGCGCCCACCCGCGCCGCCTTTGCCCTTGCCCACCCCGAGCTGCAGGTTCCTCCAGAGCCGGGCGTGGAAGGAGGAGGACGCGGCAGCAGGCTCGGACTCGCCCGCCGCGGGCGCCCGGGGCTCCATCCTCCACCCCCTGCCCGCCTGCGCCCCTCCTCCTCCTCCTGCGTCCCGGGCTTCTCCGCCCTCGCCGGCTGCGCCCCCACTCGGAGCCCCGCGGCGGTGGCGGTAGCGGCGGCGGAGGGCGCAGCAGCAGCAGAAGCCGGGAGCGCCCGGCGGCTTCAGGCCAGCGGGGAGCAGAGACGCCGCCGCCTCCGCCGAGGCTCCCGGGCAGCGGGACTCAGGCGCCGTCCTTTCCTCCACACCTCCGGGCTGGGCCGGCGCGGACACCGGATCCCCGCCGCCGCACCTGCAAAGTTTCCGGTTCCGAGCGCCGCGGCTGCAGCCGCCCGGCGTCCCCCAGGCCGTGTCCCGGCTCCGAGGTGCAGGAGCGGCACGCGCACGGCCGCGCCTGGGACCTGGGGCTGCGCCCCGCGCCCTCGGGCAGCACCTGTCAGCAGCGGGGGCGGCCGCCTCCCAGCCCCGCGCGCGCGCGGCTCACACGGCAGAGCGCGTCCGGCTGCAGAAGGCGGCGGGGACCCGCGGCCCCGGCGCAGCACCCCGGGACCATCCTCCCGCCGCTGGGTGGGAGGCTCGCAGGAGCCCGGTGGAGTGGGTAGGGCCCCGAGTCGGCTTGCTTCTGGAGACCCGGCCACTGTTGCCCACGCAGCTCGCTCTGGGCGGGCCTGCGGATGAGGCCAGATGAAGAGCGACCGAGAGGCGACTGTGCGTCCCGGGCGGGTCCCGCAGGGCGTGGAGAGTCCACGGCGAGCGCGGAAACCCGCCTCCCCCCTACATTCTAAGGCCGCACACAGCTGTCTGGGCCCGCCCCTTGCGCGCGCCGGAGTCCAAGAGGAGTTTGATTCCGTCTTCCGCCTCATTCACCGGTCCACGCTCTTCCCTATCATGTTCCCTAGTGACTTCGCTTATGATCAGGATCTAGCGCCTTCCAGAGCCTGGCTTTAAAGTCAGCCCTAAAGTTAGAAGGAGTTTAGGGTGGACGCAGATGGGAGGAACGCCACAGCCTCTGACCTCATTAGGCACACAGTTCCATTCTTTTCACCCAAGTGCGTTTTTTCTTTGCCTAATCCATTTGCTTCGTTGCAAGCAAACGAAAAAATCTTTTCAGCTCATTGAGGCTTTGCTTCTCCCCACATCTTTCTCATCCAGGGTCTTTTGATTCTGTAGCAAAGCCTTCGGAAAGGCAGGTGACACTGCACCCCTAGATATGGAAAACCAGGGGAAGTTTCCTAAGCTCAGGTCCACAGTCTGAATAGTCTCTCCTGGGCTAGCGGTAGGCCCTGGAGGTTTCACCAGCCTAAGTTTTGATTTGTTTTCCTCGTCCTTATAACAAATAGTTATTTATTGCGCACCTACTATGTGTCGGGTACTGGGACAGGCGCTGGAAAGAGTTGTGAACAAAAATGCAAGGTTTCACCCACATGAAGGTTCTTTGAGTTGAGTAGGGGAAGAGTCGGAGAATGAACAGATTTTCTAGCAGTGAGAAAGTCCCAGGGAGACAATAAAACAGTACCGGAGTGGCATGGCTAAAGAGGAAGCGTAGCTGAATAAGAAGGGAGACAGCCAATTACATTTGAATTTCAGAAACACAACAGTAATTTAGTACATGTATGTCCCATATATTACAGGGAAGATATTTACAGTAAAACTGTTTATCCAAAATCCAATTTTATTGGATGTCTTATGTTTTTACTTGCTAAAGCTGGCAACTTTATACGGCAGGGATTTGGGGAGGATCGTTTTGGTTTGTTTTACCTTCTGTGTTCAAGAAGAGTGTATCTGAGAACACAATTTGAGTTGAAACTTCAAGAGGATGAAGAGCCATGGAAGGATCTGAGGAAGGAACACCAGGTGCAAGGACTTAGAGGCAGGAGTTAGCTTGACTAGGAATGTTCAAGGACGGATGGAGACACCCCAAACGCTGCAGAGCAAGGGGAGGGGGTGGTAAGAGGTGGGACAAATGGAGGGCGTCCTGTAGTCATAGTAAGAGTTTAAGGCTCCTAGAAATGAAAGGAGGAGCCATTAGGAGCATTTTTTCACATAGGAGTGATGTGATTTACTCATATTTGCCTCACAGGACTATTTTGAATATCAAGGAGAAACCAAACTTGGTTTAGTGCCCTTGATATTATTGTTGTTTGGTAGATAGAGACAGTATTTCCTAAGTTTATGAACACTATGCTTTGGAAAAAGAGACAAGGAAGTGTTGTAAGATTGTGGGCTGTATTTAAATAACATTCTTGAAAGTACAAGATTATGGAGATGGAAAACAGATGGCGGTTTCCAGAAGCTACTAGTGGTGCAGATATGAAGGGAGAATTCAGGAGGCTCCTTTGTGATATGAGACAGATCTGTCTTGGTTGTAGTGGTGGTTATAAGAATTTTACTACATATGTGTGGAATAAAACTGCATAGAACTAGACACACACACACACACACACACGAGTGGCTATAAAAATTGTTAAAATTGGAATAGGATCAGTGTTATACCAATGGCAATTTCTTGAAGTTTTACTGCAATTATGTATGATAATACCATTGTGTGACATTGTGTGAAGTTTACATGGAACCATTATATAGCATATTTGGAACTCCATAGAAGTCTGTATTTCAAAATAAAAAGTATAAATAAAAAGTGCAACAATAATAAGACTTTTTTAAATCATAGGCAGATAAAAGTTTTCCTTTGGAGCTTCAATCATTGGGGAATAAAACAGTCCTAGAAGCCCAATGGACCATGCCTTTCCTCTAACTCTGTTCTCAGCAACCCTATCTAATCCCTGAGTTAGCCAGAAAGCCTCTGAGGAACAAATGGGGAGGGGGTATGTCTAAGATTACTGTGGTGGTTAAGTTTGATTGTCACTTGACAAGAGACTCCTAGAGAGGTGATGGGATCAGGGGAGTGCTATACTCATTAGTGGATGAATCCACTGATGTTCGTAGCTTACTATGCTCTTAGAAGGTGGAGTCTTTTTTTTTTAATGTATAACTTTATTATCATTCACTAAACACACACATATACTAAAATTATTCAAAGAAAAGCAATGCAAGGGGGAAAAGACTATGATAATATTCAAATATAAAAGAACTCAACCAAAGCAAAACTGAAAAGTACTTAAACATTTTCCCATATAATTTAAAAAAACATCTCAAGCATTAACAAGACATCAAAGGATGTGATTTGTTTTAGAAAGATTTTCAAAACTAATATGGAACAAGTAGTGGTCTGGAAAAAAACTGTAATTAGCTAGTAGACTCCACATAGGCCAAATTTTTTTAAATTTAAATTTCAATACAGTCATGTGACACGTGATGGAAATAAAATCGGAGAAATATGTTATTAGGCAATTTCATCCGTGTGTATCACAAAGTACCACACAGAGTGCCAATTTCTAAGTGCAAACTGAGAAGGTATAGGTCAATCATCTGTGATGGCCCCTTGATATTATCCAAATACAGAGTTAAACATGAGATACATGAGGCTACCACTGGCATAGCAGCACACTGTGTTACAGTAAACTCTTTTATATAAGTAGGGTTATGCTCTAAAGGATGAAAAGCACAGCCTGTTATGATGAGTACCTAAAACAGTACCAGTCATTTATCACACTATCGAGTACTGTGTACTGTACATAGCTGTATGTACTTCTTCTGGAAACACACCCTTCTCTCCTTTGATCTCAGTGACTCTTCCTTCCCAACTCACTGATGAGCTCCAGCCTAGTCTCTATCTACATCTCTTCCTATAGTTTTAAACACAATCTATACATGGATTCTTTCCAGATTCCAGCCTGTAACCTGGTCTCTCCCCTTCCCCTCCTGCCACCCCTACCCCTTTGAACCTTTTCTTCATATATCAAATTATCCATTATTCATTTTAATCATTTTAACCTTAATTACGCTTTCAGTTTCTCACACTAGAGAAACTACTCAGTATTTACACATGTGTGTCCTGTTTATTTCACTTAAGAGGATGGCCTCAATATGCACCCATTTAGCTATAAATGTCTCTAGTTTCTCACTCTTTATGGCTGAGTAGTAGTTCATTTTATTAAAAAACCACATTTTCTTTATCCAGTTTCCAGTTGATGGGCACTAGGGCTGTTTCCGAGTTTTACCTATTACAAACTGTGCCACTATAAAGATGGGTGCACATATATTGCTGTGGTATGATTCTTTTAATTCTTTTGGGAAGATACCCAGCAGGGAAATAGCTGGGTCAAATGGGACCTCTAAGCCTAGTTCTTTGAGACATCTCCATACTGATTTCCACAGTGGTTGCACCAGTCTGCACCCCCACCAACAATGGAGAAGGGTTCCTTTCTCCCCACACCCCTGCCAGCATTTGTTATTG